ACCAGGCATTTCCAAGCTGTTCCTGATGCTCAGTCACACACACACACACACACACACACACAGAGCTTAAAATTCATACCCCAGGGTTGGGTGTAGGAACAGTCACCATAGTGTAGTGCTGCTATTTCCTCTGGGATGCGGACAATGAGAAAATGAAGAAAAAAAAAATCTACCTTATAGTGTATGCATCTCCTTTAAGTCTTAGAACATTATAAGGCAGTTATTTTTATCCCTAGTTAACAGATGAGAAAACCGAGGTTCATAAAGATTAAGAAAGTCTCCTGAAATCACTTTGCTAATAGAACAAAACAGAGAAGCATATTAAACCCCATGCTTTTTCCACTCTGCTGCTCCACTAGTTTGGATGAAACTGGACTCTAATTTGGCAAAACAAGAAAGTAATAATTCCTTGCAAATGCCTGATGGGAGGGGGGAGTGAGTCACAGTGATTGGTAGCTGTGGCTGCTGTAGGCTCTCAGGGACCCAGCAGGCTAACCACGTTGGCATTAAACCTGCTGATGAGGTCCCAACGCTAACTAGATGAACTGGGAGACGGTCTTCACTTTCCTTCCGAGCGAGCAGTAGCAACCTCCTTCCTCCTCTGAGCCTGTGTCCCGCACGCTCTCAGGGTCTGTGGCATGTGGCATGGGGTCTCCACACTATCCTCCTGCAATGCAGCAGCAGCACTTGGCCAAGCCGCATGTTCTACCCTGGGAGAGCCCAGCTGGGCACACTGGACCACAGCAGCTGCTCCACATTGAGCTAGAATCTGCCTTCTTGGTCCCGCTAATTCCCATGCATTAGTTTCATTTCTATCCTATGAAATAACTCACAAAAAGCCAGTCCCTTCTTTTAAGTTTAGCCCACCAAATGATTGAAGACCACAATTATTCAACTTTCTCAGATGAATACCTCCCATTCCCTCAGCAAATCTAATGGGAAACACTTTCTAGACTCAGTTCTCATGCTGTTCTTCCTCGTCTCAGCGTCCTTTATCAGCATACCAGGAGCTAGACTTTCTTCTCCCTCCCAAGGTGACTGGCTAACACAGAGCTCAAAGAGCTGCTGTCCCCGCCATTTGGAACTCCATGATGTAACCTCACTTCACCACAGCTCCTGGCCACCTTATCACATTTTCACCTCACCTTCAGGCTCTACAAGCAAAGCTGCTGGGTCTTCTTGCCCTATACATCCACAGTGGGCTGCCGTCCTGACCACAAAAGGTGATTCTGCAGTCACGTCCCCAAGGCCCTGCAGTACCACATGACAGCAAGTCAGTGGGACCTCCAGACCTGAGCTACTCTGAACCGGCTCTGTGGTCTCCAGCTGCCTTCTCTCTTGGCTAGGGTACTGCACCCCTGACTTGTTTATTTAGCACTTTGTAGCTACAAGATTATCTTCCGGTAAGGAGGGAAAAGTAGTGGAGACAACTACAGAGTGAGTTGTCAGTCACTCTGAGTCAGGCTTTCTGCTTTTACTTAATGTAGTAACCACTTTTCCAGTCAGTGGGGCAATATAACCTTCACAATCACCCTGTAAAAATAATACAACTACCATTCCCATTATGTGATATGACAGAATGAGGACATGGCAGCTCTTAGAACTTAGAGCATTTGTCCAAGTTCACACAGGTAGAGGCAGACTCATGAGCCAAGCGCAGGGCCTCTTCTTCTGAATCTGGCCTCTTTTCTACTGTAACAAGTTCATAGATAAGAAGGGTGGAGAAAATGGATGAGTATAGGGGTTAAAAGAAATAGACTCTCATAGTTCCCTGCACACTTGAGAAATTATAACTGAGGAAAGTAGAGGATCAGGTTAAAAGCCACATTTGTGTCCAAAGTGGGCAGCAAGGAGGGCAGCATATGGCTGAATATAAGAAATGTGTGTGCTGAGAGGGTCTTCACCCACCTCTCCTGGGGCCAAGCCTGTGTTTCTCAGTGTTCCCTGCAGAAATGAGGGCATGTCATCAATGAAGGACACAAGTCAGTGTGGGGGACAAGCTGAACTGACGACCCCAGTCCTTCAGCCTTTCACTGTTGCGTGCCCTGCCCAGAAACACAAACTATGCTCCATCAACTATGCCCTTCGATGTAGGGCCCTTTATCCCTGGGACAATTCATGATTATCTAAAGCGATGACGCAGGGTGTGCAGGTTCCACATGCATGATGGTGCATGATACATGTCTCTTATTTACAGTTCTCTCATTTGTCTGAGATGAAGATGTCCCACATGCTTGACTATGCAACCACGGAACATGGCCTTGAATGTCTGAGCATATCCATACTCTGTTTCCCCACAGCTCTGCAGACATACTGAACCACAGGAACTGGGGCCAGACCTTGCTATATAGATTCCTCTATGTGTATGGGAGGTGGGCCCTTGGCCATGTTGGTATAGGAGTCTAGTCCCAAGTCTTCTACTTCCCGATCCCTGGCCCACAGGATCGGATGCAAAGGAAAGCATGCATGGGCTTATTCAACAAATGCCTGTAGGTCACGCACTATGCTCCAGGCCTACGTCCTACACATAAGGACATGGCAGTGGGTAGGATAAACAGAATCAACCCAGACATGGCAGGCACAACTTTCATCTCAGCACTCTGGGAAGTTGAAGTTGAAGGATCACAAGTTTGAGCCAAGCCTGGGCATAGTAGCAAAAACCTATCTCAAAATTTAAAAAAGGGAGAGGACACAGCCCAGTGTGAAAGCCCTGGGTTCAATCTTCAGTACAGAAAAAAGGTAAAGCCCCTGCTTATTCTAATTCTAAACAAAAGAAAATAGGTGATAGCGTCTTGACAACTTAACAAATAAGATAAACTCAAATAATAAGTGTTCGGATGCCGATTGGACATAGTAACAGTGACCAGGGAGAATTTTTTTTTTTATTGTGTCCCCAGGAAAAACCTGTCTAGGAGGCAACATTTGAATCACATTAGGGCAGAGGATGTCACGGAGTGGTCTGCCATAAAAATTGATTCGTTACAAGGGTGAGGTGGGCAGATGGCGTCCCCTGGAGCCTGAGCAGCAGCACACAGACATCAAAGACAATGGCCAAGAATAAAGTAAGAAGGCAAAAGTCCAAAAATGTATTTTACATAGCCAGCCAAAAAAAGACTTTAAGTCCAAAAACAAAGCAAAACCAGTTACCACTAATCTGAAGATAAACACTGTGAATGATGAAAAAGTGTGCAGAATAAATAATGCTTTTGTAAGCATTCAGAAGGAACATGCACTCTTCTCAAAAAGGCTAACTCTTGACCCTTGGCAGAAGGAGCTGATTAATCAACCACATCATGAAAATGAACCAGTTAATGTTGATGAAGCTACAAGTTTGATGGCTCAATTGTAATATGGTGGAGACATGTATCAAATTTTTAAAAACTCAGTAAAATAAGTATGTGATACCAAAAAAGGGGGGTGAGATGGTCAGGAGGCAAGGCAATTCGGAGGTTAGTTATGTAGTTAGACAGTTGCATGGCTGGGTTGCTGGGTGGTTGGCTGCCTGGCTGGGTGTAAACCCCAGTCATTGAAGTGCCAGGTATGGAAGTTCTTCCCAGTGTGAAAGTTCTTTCTACTACTTAATCCAAGCATTCACTTTGTTCTCTTGCTGTCTGCTGTGTTGGGGCAAGTGGTAAGTCTTTCCATGTCTGCTGACTCCGAGTCTCTGGGGCAGTATTGAATGGATGGAAATGGCTGGTGCACTGGGTCTCCCAGCAGCACCTGGAGAGCAGCCACAGTTCAGGCTCCTTCCCTGGGATTCTTGGCTCGTGTCCAGGAAGATGAGAAGCCAGCATCTCCATTGGCTAACGCTAAGGCTAAGGCTAAGGCTGGTCACAGGGCGAGTGAGCCTCAACAGAGTGGCTCCGGACCTTCTTCTAAGTCCCTCAAAAGGACATCTGTCCCCTGGCTCAGTGTGACTCTGGAGCACCTGTGTTCTCTGTTCAACACAGCTTGGACTCATTTTCTTCCCTTTCCTGTACACAGAAGCAGGCCCTTGTTGGCCATCAGTCTTTTCTTTCTCTGCTATTCCTGTTCTCCAGCCCTGTTCCAAGGGCCAAGAGGGTGCTTTCTGCCAAGTAGAGAAAAATTCTAGGCTATGACCATCTTGAGTTCCAAGGACATTTTGTGTGATGTAAGGGTGGAAACTTAAGCCCTTTCTTAGAGCGGTACAAAGAGAGACGGAGAAACAAGGCCCGTGCTTCAACCCTGCAGACAATGCTGGCTCTCTACCAGCTCCTCTCCTGTCCATATCACATCGGGGCACAGAATTGTGTTAGGAATGAGGACAGGGAGACAAAGCCCTCTCATGACTATGGTGGAAGCTGAAACTCCCTGCTGGGGCTGCAGATGGAGGCCAGGGAAGTGGTAAGGGGAGGGAAGATGGAGCGGGCCCTGGCCATGGCAGCTCTCACAAAGCCCCTCCACTGGCTCCTCTCTAGCCTGATGGACAGGGACGCAGCTATTGTCAGGGCAAAGGCTGCATGAAGCGTGGCTCTGGGGTAGCTGGGGGATATGAGGCCTATCTTAGGGAGAGAAATTGAGTCTGAAAAAATGAAGCTGGACAATGGATAGGATGAACTTAACTGTCAAATGTGGCAAAGGATGAAAGAAAGCACAATGTAAAAGGGGAAAGGAATGATGGGAGGGGAAAAGGCCAGGGAGAAGGCCCAGGAGGAGAGAGAGGAGGAAGAGGCAGAGGAGGAAGAGGAGGGGAATAAACAGAGAAAAGCAAGAGGAATAAGAGAAGAAAGTCAAGGTCCCACCTGACCTGGTGTGGGACAGAGACCTGGACATGGGCAGCTGTGAAGTTCTGTCCAGAAGTCTTCATGTGCCTCAGGCGGCCTCAGGCTGGAGACAAAGAGGAGATTGGGCTGAGTGGACCTGCAGCTCCATGCTAACCCTGTCCCTGTGTCTCACAGGCTGGCTAAACCTCCTAGTCTTGCCACGCCCTGTGTTTGAAGGAGACAATCTGACTGCAGTGCTGGGCAAAGGAATGCGTAATGCTGTCCGAGATGAAGTTTTACAAAGAAGAATTCCCTGGTTTCTCTAAACTCAACCAGCCTCTGTACATTAAGGCAATCACACTGAAGAGCAGCGGGCAGCACCCCTGCACTGGGGTGGTGATATTTCTCAGATACCGCTTCCTCCAAATGTCAGCAGTTAGCAAGGTGAGACACCAGCTCCGAGGGGTTGGCGGCAGTAGGTGCTTCTCAGAGTCCAGTCTCTAGCAGCTAGTAGCTCCCTGGGCAGAACCCCTCTTTTTGGCATATAGGGACCTAAGAGATCCCTGACATTGTCCAAATGGCCCCTCACCCCTCAGGGACACATCTGGAGCCGGAGAAGAACAGAAAAGATACTGGGACAGCCCAGCCATGCTCCCTTCCCTTCTGAGGACCAGGTATCCACCAAGAGCCTATCTGGCTCTGACTCCCAGAACTCCTGAGACTCTGGTCTGTGGGGGTGCCCATGCAGGGTCAGGGGGTGACACGCTCTCCCATATGGGTCATGGAGCTGCAGCCTGAGCTGTACTAGAGTTCGGTCCTCAGCCTCCTGGGTCTCACTGACCAGGGCCCCCCTGCCAAGGCAGTAATGTTTCCGCAGAGCTGTTCCAACCTCCTGTGCTGAGCACAGACCCCTCTCCAGAGCCTCATGAAGGGGGCTTGTTGAGCCTGAGATGTCAGACAAAGCTGCACCCTCAGAAGTTAACCTCAAGGCTCTTCGCCATCTACAAGGATGGCCACACCATGCAGAACACAGACGACCACGCAGAATTGTGCATTCCAGGAGTCAAAAAGGGAGATTCTGGAGTTTACTGGTAAAAAGTAGCCCTTGCGGGTGGCCAAGTTCAGAAACAGAGCCTCTCTCTACAAATCAGCATGCAGGGTAAGCAAGAGAAGGACACGGGACCATCTAGAGGCCCAGACAACAGGACCTTGGGAGTGGGGCAGGATCTCTAGAGCCTGGATGGTCAGGCTGACCCTCCTGTCCCACACGCCATCCCAGCTCCTGTGTCCTGTCCTATACTCACTCTGTCCTCCATGGTGGAGCTGTCTCCTCCTTCCTCCCAGTGAAGTCAGAGCAAGATGCTGGAAGCCACTCCTGTGAGGCCAAGAACAGCATTTCCAGAGAGAAGAATGAGTCCAAGAAGCTTTCCCTGGATGGTGCGTCTTATCCCTGAACCAGGCTCTGAGCCCTGAAAGCTGGCAGCGGTCAGATTTCACGCTCCTAGGGCCTCCCGCCACGCCCAGCCAGTGGCAGCCCATGGCAGGCTCTGCACAACAAAGCATGCTTCGTGCACTGAACCCAGAAGGGAGTGCCATGGTGCATGGTACATGGAGGTCCACGGTATTGTCAGGTCATGCTGCCATCTTCTGAGCTATCTTTCATTGCTACCTCAAGGCTCCTGCAGGCCACATGGCTCTCCTAAAGCCACCATTCTGCCTTTCTGAGCCAACAGGTAGTGCACATCTGTGCCTCATGCTCAGTGCTTGAGGTCACTCCCCCCACCTTCTCCCCCAGGTTCGAAAGCCTTGTCCACCCCCTCCAACAGCAACTGGCTGGCAGCTGGGTCACTTGGGAGCCTGCCGGGTGTGATGACCATTGCTGCTGCACTTCTGGCGTAGTGCAGACCCTGGAGAAAAGCTGCTTAGTAGCTCCTTTTGGCTTTCTTGGCTGCTGAGTCCCTACAGCAGGCACTGCCCAGCCCTGGAGAAGCCAGAGCCCAGCAGGATCAGCCACTGTTCTCTAGAGGGTTGAGTGGGAGGACTGACTTCTCTTTACATGTCACACACAGAGAAGGCTGCTTGCAGCCTCCAAAACATGCATGCGCAGACACACACTACCTTAATGGTCACAGTCACACATTGGGGCACATAATAGCACTAATGCATATCCAGGTGTGAATAGAAGCATAAACCAAAGAATTCCTGCAAACCAAAGCCGTTATATATGGGTGGCCTTCATGTTGAAAAGATGATCCATTGCTTGAATGTGACTGAAAATCCAAGACCAACTCCAACTCTGTCATATTAGGAGAGCTCTGGTTCATTAAACAGAGAGAAAAAAATGAGAGAACACACACATACACACACACACCTTCTATATCACAGAGGAATTGTGATCAGAAAGGACCAAGTGATAGCCTGGTCCCAGCCTTGCAACTTTCTAGGTCCATAGTGTTGGGCCAACTCACTGTTAAGATTCACTAAAGCACCTCTGTCTCTGTCTCTGTCTCTATCTCTCTCTGTCTCTCTCTGTCTCTGTCTGTCTCTCTGTCTCTCTGTCTCTCTCTGTCTCTCTCTCCCTCTCCCTCTTCCTCTCCCTATCCCTCTCCATCTCCTTCTTTCTCTCCCTTTCTCTCTCTCTCTCTCTCTCTCTCTCTCTCTCTCTCTCTCTCTCTCTCTCTGTTTCTAAGGGTTGGAGTGACTAAGAGACCACATATCCAATACCTAAGTTATTTGATCACTACACAGTGCATAGTCCACAAAATGTTCATTCTAGTCCAAGCAGACAATCTCAGCAGCTTCCCCAACCTGCCCTTTCTTTAGCTGCTCATTTCTGATTCCTCTAAATTCAATGAAAATGAAAAGATTGGTCACAATGCTGGCATAGAGGATTCTACACAGAAGTGATGAAAACAACCAGACCAATGGACTTTCTAGGTGACCTACGTGATTTTTACATCCCAGGTACTCCCTTTCCTGTCTCCTTCATGACAAGTAAATATGAGTGCTAGTTTGAAAGCAATCATGGTGAGTGGATTCCTGTGTATTCTACCTCCAAGCCTCATTCACTTTTGACCACATTTAAAGGAATGGCTACCAGTGCCAAAGCCATCGAGTGCCACTTTATTCCTAGGACTTTTAATCTCCCTACTGCAGGAACAGTATTATTTCCTGCGTGTCTCGTGCACAAGTGATTGCTCCCCAGGCCTCCAAAGTTAGAGTCACCTATTCAAGTTTGCAGCCTCCTCTGTTAAGAAATTTTTGATGAGCTTTCAGAACTGAGTCAACTCACTCATCCAGAAAGAGCTCCCAGCCACCATCCGCAGTATTGTTCCCTGAACACCTACCAGGGCATCTGAGAGGCCCTCTCCCCAGCCCCAGGCACAGGTCCTGCCTCACCTGGAGGACTAGCCCCTCCTTCTGCTTCCTATCTCCCTCTTTCATTTACCAATCCTCATACATCCAACTTCCCATCATTCGCTTCCCGGTAGGCTGAAGTCTGGATTTCATGCAAGATACACTTGCTTGGTGACATCTCTGTAAGGTAAGAGAAGGGTAGAGGCAAGTCTTGAGCTAAGTAGGACAACAGCGGGGAGAGGAGACCACAAACTGAAGGCCTGCGAGTCCCACCATCGCTGTCTAAGTAATAAAACCCCTCCAGTGGCCCAGCAGCACAGTCGCTTCTGACCACCTACCACCAGGTCAGAACATTAAGGGCAGGGCAGCACGCACAGCCACCTCCCTCCCCAGCCCTGACGAACAAATGCAGGGACAGCCACCAGTGAATGATCCACAAGAAGACACCCGATACAAGGAACCAAATAGCATCTCTTTCCATACAGATGCTGTACCACCAGTACCAACCCTGGAGTGGTACGGCTTTGTTTTAGTAGGGAATCTATTTACTATGCAAATAAGACCCCTGGTGGTGGCCCAAGTATCTCAGGTTCTCAGAAACACAAACTCTTCTTCTGAATGTCACTCAGAAATCCACTCTCAGAGGGCGTCCAAATAGCTCAGTGGGTTAAAGCACCTGCTTAGAAAGACTCAGTGGCCAGTTGGATCCCTGGTGTGCAGTGCCGGCACTGCCCCTGGGGCATGCTGAGATGGCAATTGAGACTGGGCATGGTGGAGCCCCATCTGTAATCCCAGCTTTTGGGAGGCTGAACACAGGCAGATCACGAGTCTGATCTATGTAGTGAGCCCCTGTAGACCCTTACTAAAATACAAAGAAAAAGAAAGAATAAAGAAAACTACTCTCAGTCAGAATTCCAAAGCTACACCACAAAAAGAGCCAGATGAGCAGTTTTATTTCTCACCTCAGTTCTGGAAGACTCTTAACTGTTTCCAGAGAGTGTATCCATTCCTCAACGAACAGAAAAATGCCGCCACCAAGATTTGTGAGGGCTCAAATGTCTCTAAAGGCGATTTCCAAGGCAGTTTGACCAATGATAGTGTCCCTGGAACCATGATCGTGCAAGGGATGCACGTTGAAATATCTCTCTACCTCCAGGTATGCGTTCTGGGGTGTTTGCTTTGAAGAATTCAATTCATGATTTGTCACAGTTCCCATAAAACAAAGTCCCATTGAATTCACAGAACTGTTCCCTGGACGCAGACTCGGAAGCGCAGTCCCAACAAATGAACATGGGGCATGTCTGATAATCAGGTGCCTGTCTGGGACTCTGAGAATGACCTTTCTGTTTTCCAGGAGGGGCCTCTTCCTCAGATCCTCCTTGGTGATTCTGACACCGTATGAGCTGATGACTGTTTCTCAGGCACCAGCCATGACCCAAGTGCTCTGAAGTGCGTGTGTGACACAGTTCCTATCTCAGGAGCTTCCCGTTCTAGAAGCATCTGCTACTACAGAGGCAGCATGCTAGTGGGAGAAATACAGACCTAAGTTAAGATTCTGTCTCCACCACGGCCCGTGACTCTGGGGGATCCCCTTCTCCCAGTCCTCAATTGTCTCATCTAAGAAAATGGACATTCTAGTATCCACCTGTTCAAAATGATTACAAAGAATATGCGACACTCAAGAATTAGGAAGCAAAGATTTTTTGACATCCAGCTACATCCTGGTCATTGGGTTTAGTGCCCTATAAGAAAATAGACATTTTATTTTGAATTCCAGCCCAAAGTCTAGCATCCAGAGTATGGTCACAGTTACTAACTTTTCTTTCTTCTGAGAATCAGCCCCAATTGTATCTCTGAGTCCTTTCCATGTCTGACCCTACCTCCTTCCTTCTTCTCTGTGATCCTTATGCAGCCATCCTACCTTCCAGGGAGTTTTTCAAAGAAAATATCCCATAAAAATTAACCATGTCCACACCTGTGAATCAACCCTTATCTGTAACAAGCCAGCCTTAGGCCCCTGGCAGCTCCATACCATCCTTCCCATGCCCGCTCTGTCCGCACTGCTCTATGAGGGTGCTCAGTGAATCGTGCTTTTCATCACCTAGCGCCCCCTCCAGCCCAGAACCAGCCCTCAGCTCCAAGTGGAGAGCAGTGCCCAGTGGAGGGCAATGGTAAGGACTTCCAGCAGGACCGTAGCCTTCTATGGAGAGTGGGGAAGGAGGCTCTGAATCTTGAGCCCTGAATCTCCCAAATCAATCATCTGCAGAAGGGTGATGATGATTTCTGAGAAGTCTAAGGAGCACTTGCCGGAGAGCTGGTGCTGGGAGGGGGGCAGGAAAGGGGCCAAAACTCAGGAGAGAAGGTAGGGAGGGTGTGCATCAAGAGTTGGCAAAACAGTCAGACCACTGTCTAGTCTTATAAACAGTTCTACTGGAACACCACCACGCTCATTTGTTTACGGACTGTGTCGCAGCTGTCTCACTCTAGGGTTAAATGGTTATGATAGAGATGGCACAGCCCACAAAGCTTAAAATACTTACCATCTTTCTCATAGAAGAGGTCTGTCAATCGTTTGTTGAGACAGTGCCAGGACCAGGGAAGCTGCTAAGATCTGCTAAGAGAGCCAGGCACCTCCTACCAAGCTGGACATCCCCACATCAGCAAGAGGTCGTCACCACTAGTTATCCCCGAGACAGAGCCTCTGATTGGCTTCCCAGGGCAAGGGTCTTCAGGACACCTGTAGCTTGAGGTGGGAAAGGTGGGCAACTTACGCAGCCCTTCTTTCGGCCAGTACATCACCAGGAAAAGAAAGAAGACAACATTACCTACTCTGTGGTGCAGCCAGTCTCAAAAAGGATCAAGAGTGAGTGGTCTCAGCCCAAACGTGACATCTCTGCTAAGGCGAGGTTCTGGGACTGGAATGAGATTATTACCATTTCCATAATTGTCACCATCTCAGCCAAACACTGCTGTTATCACCAGTGTCGCCATGTTTGTCACTGCCGTTATGACCACCATCTCTGCATCCACTACCATCGCCAGTGACACCACCACCACGAGTCCATGGCCATCACCACCACCCTGGCCATCATCACTAGTGCCATCATGACCCGCCACTTCCTCCTTTGCTGCCACCACGGCCACCACCCCATGGCCTGCAACCTCACACCATCACGGCAACCACTGCTCCTCCTCAGTACCACAGGCACCACCGCCACTAATCTGACCACACAACCACCATTCTCAATATGATCACTGCCACCACTGTCATGCGGACAACTGCAGGAACCTTTGCCCTTTGCTGGCTACTGTGGAGAAACAAAAGAAAGAGAAGAAAAAAATGATACAGTTTGCCACCACCCCAGAGCCTAAGATGAGACAGGATAGTCCCAGCCAGAAGAAGGAGTTTTAAAAACTGGGAATTCAAGCTGCAGTTAGCAACCTCAGATAACAGAGACAGGAGAAAGGCTGCTCCTGCCTCTAACTGGGAAAACAGCAGGGTGATGTTGTGGGATGTGTGGCTTTTTGAGTTGTCCAAACTGAGTTCCCCTCCTGACCCTGTACCTACT